TGGCCAGGCACGGTGCATGCCTGTAATCCCAGTGGCTTGGGAGGCTGAGGCAGAAGGATCAAAGCCAGCCTCAGCAATTTAGCAAGGCCCTAAGCAACTTAGTGAGAACCTGTCTCAAAATAAAAAAATAAAAAAGGGCTGGGGATGTGGCTTTGTGATAAAGCACCCTGGGTTCAATCCCCAGTACCCACCCCTGCCAAAATATTGACATTATAAGACATACTACATTATAATTTAAAAAATAAGCCATGAATTTTATATCTTGTTATAGAATTTTATTTGGAAGGCCTGAGCAGAATTATCATTTTATCTTTAAAACTGGATAGTTTGGGGTTGGGAATGTGGCTCAGTAGCAGAGTGCCTGATTGGCATGCATGAGGCCCTGGATTCTATTTCCAGCACTTAAAAAAAAAAAAAAAAAGATAGTTTTAAGCAGGACCTAAAACTAATGATTTGTCCATAACCAACAGTATAAACACCTAACACTTTACTCTTACTAGTCTATCACGTGTCCATCACCAGAAAATTAGCAACCTCTAGGAGAGTGGAACACAGCCTTAGCTGTAGTCAGAACACCTGCGTTTTCCCAGACACACTCCAGCCCTCCTGAACTATACTCCCCAGGATTAGAACTCTCCTTAAAAAGCTCTTGGCCATAAGCTGGGGGTGTGGCTCAGAGGTAGAGCTTAGTGTATGAGGCACTGGGTTTGAGCCTCTGAACCACATAAAAATAAAATAAAGACTTTGTGTCCACCTAAAAAACAAACAAAAACAAAAACAAACTTTTGGCTTCTCTTCCTTCCTGGGCTGTATTCCCTTATGGTTCTAGACTTAGAATCCAAGTTTGTCCTGTTAGTGCTACACATCATGAATTTAACAGATCTGAAGGCTAGTCCCAGGGCCTGCCACCGATTTCTTTTTTTCCCTTCCTTCTTTCCTCCCATTAGTTATACATGACTGTTGCTGAGCCATCCATGGGCTGTGTGTATGTGTGACCTATGTGCATTTGAGCTATATGAGGGGACGAGTCTAGCATTGCACGCTGATTGGGCTGTGCTTCGCAAGTGCACCTTTCCTGTCGCTCTGCCTGTGATCCCACACAGCATCTGAAATGGGTGTGACTTGCCAAGATGTCAATCAATCTGCTGGCCATAGTACATCACAGAGCAAGACTCCACCTTTTGAAACCTTATCCCCTGCCTTATTTGGTGAAGAACATTCCATCGAAGTTCCTGTTGTGTGTCCTCCCTATAAAATAAAGAGATTCCGGGTGGGTGCTCTCTTTCCAGAGCTGTCCAGTATGGAGCTGACCCTTAAGGGTCACAGAGCAGTCCCACCCTCGACATGAGAAACTCATTTTTGTGTGTTGCATGGTTTCTTCACCATTTTCTTAGTTTATTGCTGCAGCCAGCTCCTTTAAACCCAGCTCATTTCGTCAGCCCAGCCAGCTGGCAGGATGCGACAGCAGAATGATCTTCGATTCATTGTACACAAATGGAGCAGAATTTTTCACTTCTTTGGTTGTACCCAAAGTAAGGTCATACCATTCATGCAATCATATGTGTACCTAGAGTAATGATGACTGTCTAATTCCACTGTCTTTCATACCCCCATGCCTCCTCCCCCCTCCCCTTTGCTCCATCCAAAGTTCCTCCACTCATCCCACCCACCCCCCATTATGAATCAGCATCCACTAATCAGAGAAAACATTCAGCCTTTGTTTTTTTGGATTGGCTTACTTTGCTAAGCATGATATTCTCCAACTCCATTCATTTACCTGCAAATGCCATAATTTTATTCTCTTTTAGTGCTCAGTAATATTCCATTGTGTATGTATACCACAGTTTCTTTGTCCATTCATCTATTGAAGGGCATCTAGATTAGTTCCACAGTTTGGCTACTGTGAATTGTGCTGCTATGAACATTGAAATGGCTGCATCACTGTAGTATGCTGTTTTAAAGTCCTTTAGATATAGACAGAGGAGTGGGATAGCTGGTCAAATGGTGGTTCTATTCCAAGTTTTCTAAGGAATCTCCATACTGCTTTCCAGATTGGCTGCACCAATTTGCAGTCCCACCAACAATGTAAGAGTGTGCCTTTACCCCTACATCCTTGCCAATATTTACTGTTGTTTGTATTCTTGATAACTGCCATTCTGATTGGAGTGAGATGAAATATTAGAGCAGTTTTGATTTGCATTTCTCTAATTACTAGAGATGTTGAACATTTTTGCATGTATTTGTTGATTGATTATATGACTTCTTTTTTTTTAAAGAGAGAGATTTTTTTTTAATATTTATTTTTCAGTTTTTGGTGGACACAACATTTTTATTTTTATTTTTATGTGGTGCTGAGGATCGAACCCAGCACCTGTGCATGCCAGGTGAGTGCATTACTGCTTGAGCCACATCCCCAGCCCAATTGTATGACTTCTTCTGAGAAGTGTCAGAAGCCCATTTATTGATTGGGTTGTTTTTTTTTTTTTTTTTTGGTGTTAAGTGTTTTGAGTTCTTAATATATTCTGGAGATTGGTGCTCTTTCTGACGTGTGTGTGGCAAAAATTTGCTCCCCAAATGTAGGCTCTCTGTTCACCTAATTTCTTTTGTTGAGAAGAAGCTTTTTAGTTTGACTCCATCCAATTTATTGAATTTTGACTTTATTTCTTGCGCTCTAGGAGTCTTGTTAAGGAAGTTGGGGCCTAATCCAACATAATGAAGATTTGGGCCTACTTTTTCTTCTATTAGGCGTAAGGTACTCTGGTCTGATTCCTAGATCCTTGATCCACTTTGAGTTGTGTTTTGTGCATGGTGAGAGATAGGGATTTAGTTTCATTTTGCTGATGCGGATTTCCAGTTTCCTAGCACCATTTGTTAAAGAGGCTCTCCTTTCTGCAATATGTTTTTGGCACCTTTATCTAGTATGAGATAACTGTATTTATGTGCGTTTGTCTCTTTGTCTTTTATTCCATCACCATTTGCAACCTTTTTCTCTCTAGGGTGTTATGCTAATAATGCCCAACAAATAGTTTTGTTTAAACTTTGAAGACACAGTCCACAGATTTTTTTGGAGAAACTGACCACATAGAATTTTTGATCAAAATATCTTCAATTTGCCAGGCATAGTGGTACATGCTAGGTACTCTGGAGAATTGAGGCAGGAGGATCACTTGAGCCTAGGAATTCAAGGCCAGCCTGGGCAACATAGTGAGAGGAACCCCGCCCCCCATCTCACACACACACACACACACACACACACACACGCAAAAATAGACGAATGCTGGATTGAAAGTGTTACATGTCAATTCTTGTAAATAATTTGCAATGTAAATAGGTTATTTCAGCCAGTAAAATTACAAGTAGCCCTAATAATCAAATGATTGGACCCCCCCCTTTCATAAAGAGGCAGATGTGGAGAAATGGGTTTTCAATACAGAGAATAGCAAATTCCAGAACATTGGCTGAGTTTAGTTCACATGCTGTCCATTCTCATAGATTTTCTACTTCTTCATTCTATTTTTGTATTATGATTACTGATACTTTGAAGAAGAGCCTGCATCCCAGAAAGACCCTGCATTCCTCATTCATGAAATAAATATTTGATTGTGTTAATCTAAGCCCCAAATACACAGGACAATGTGCAGAGAAGTTGGAGCATGTGGGAACCGAAGTTTCAGAGTACAGCCTCTCCTAGTCCACCTTCTCAGTTTACCCTGGTTTACATCCCATTTGGAGGGCTTATGTGTATGGGGACAGAAGAAGATATTTGCCTACTTGTTACTTCAAAAGCACAGGTGGATACTGAAGGCATCTTGACCAAGGTTATGTTTATCCTTTGAGGAGCTACAACAAGAATATTTGAACACTGACCAAGTTCAGAATAATCAAGTTCAAAATGACTGTGGATGTACATAGTAGAAGATGGTGCTATGTTGATAAACAGAAATTATAAATTGTATTGTTGATAAATATAAATTGTAAAAGCTAGTGACTTAATCGTATTCCAGAATGATATGGTTGTGAAGATTTTCCAAATGAATCAGAGAGTGGAGGCAATAATCATTTAATTGAAAAATCAATTTGGTCTTCCTAATCCAAAGGTGAGAATGTTACAGGGAGGGCCATGTGTTTGGGTCCCTGTGGTTATGACTGAGTTCACAGGTCTGCTCAAGTTCCCAGATGCTGCGCTCATTTTTCCTTCCTGTATCATCCAAATAATTGTCTTTCAGCCCATGCTTCACTAACCTACAGATAGAATCCACTCATTTAACTTTCACAAGAGCCACAAATGAAAACCAGGGAAGCCATATCTCCTCTGTGGTGAAAAGGGTATAATTAGCTCTGTATACAGCTTAACCCTACTGATTTTTCTGACTCATTTGGCCTGCAGTGTGCCCTTTCTGAGACCTCCTATGTTCTCCACGGTTGGAGATGCCCAAAACTACACGCAGCCCTTCCGGCGGGCGTGGCCTTGCATTCTTAAGACCGGGTAGAGCTGGCTGTACAGCTGAAGGATCACATGTGTTGAGCCACTCGCAGATGCACAATACTATTTGAAATATAGGCGTGGGCTCTGAGTGGCTATATCAGATCCACCCTCTCTTTTCTTTTTAAAAATGATTTTGACCTCTCAAGAAATACTATAATTGGTCAGCCTGGGGTGCGTTTGAAAGCCTCCGCGATGGCGTCATTAGCTATTCTCAGGAGAGGAAAGGCAGGGTATCGCCCCTGGGAGGATGACAACACTTGTTTCAAGTTGGGGAAGAGCCTGTGGTTCTCTTCCTGCGTTTGGGGGAAAGCGAACACACAATGTTCATTTCCTAAATACGGGATGTGCTGTGCTGGCAGGTCATTTTCCACCATGTCACATCCTTCTGGATGAAGGCAGCAGGGGTCAGGGCAGGAAATGGCAAATTCTCAGAATGAGACAAAGCTTTCCCAGGGCGGCTATTGGTTCTCTGGAACTATAAAGCACACTCATCCAGAAACAGCCTCGGAATTTTCTTTCCTGGAGGCAGTCAGAAGTGAATGGTAAGTGGGGATTCTAGGATATTGTCTGATAAATGGCCTTTGGATGGTAATACAAGGGTTGTAGCCTTGTCCAATATGTATCAGGGAAGTCTTTTTCTTATTTCTTCTTTTTACCTGGAAACATCACTTGTAGGTTGACTTATGGAAGCCTGAAAGTAAAATTAAGATTCAGGAGTCAGGAGATAAAGATGCTAAACCAGGCTCTATGAAGAATCAGCTGCATCTAGAACATGTCTCCGGTTCAATTTCCTCATCTTCTAGATGAGAGTAGGATTTTTGTCTTGATATCTCATAGTTTTGAAATGCTTTCTTTTTGTGGCTTATTTGCCACTTTAAAGAAATCCCTGACGGAGAAGACTACGGTTGACATGAAGATGGGAATCTCTGGTAACTAGGAAGGATGTACTTTTACCCCAGGATGTTCAGTTTTCTCTTTATTAGTCACCTTCCACTGGCTTCAATTCAATTTGGTACTAGATAGGTAACCCTCAGTGAGTTGTCAAACAACGTTTTTGGCCACTTTATTTTTTCAAAGTTTTCTTGATATTTTTCCTTAATTATATTAAAGTTCCCTTAATTTTTAAAAGGAAGCTTTAAACACCTCAAGACATGGAGGTATTAGTGGATGTAATATCTTAGGCTTGATTCAAAGATAAGAGCCTGGAAGATTAGCAAACCAAAGAGAGTTGCTTCAGGCAAGAATCTAACTTAGAAAAATCAGTTTCTTAAATTTGAAAGACAATATACTTTTGAGATTTTGGGTGACTTATCTTTTTTTACTTATCAGAGAAAGAGATGGGAAAAATGGTATTGGAAAATTCCTAGGATCCAAGTCTTCATTTGATGAAAGGCTAAAATGTTATCTTTCAAACAGCAAAGGCCTCCGTTTTGGAGTAGCCTTCTACCCCCACCCACCCCCATTTAAATATTTAACAGTTGATGCAGTCCATCTTTAGCATTCCCTGGGAGAGAAGCAGAAGATGGCATTATTCCTATTTGCGTATGCGGATATAGTGTCTGAGAACCAGTGTGACTTGTTTCAGATCCCTGAACTTTGAGAACTTGACACATGACCCATTGGAAATGGACCGGTTTCACTTTCACCTAGCTTGGCAATAGCGGGTGTATTTAATTTTTGACGACTCTCACTTAGGTGAGGGAAGCACAGGCAGAGTAGCGGCAGGCACCAAGGCTCCAGGTAATTGCTTTTCTGTGTCCCCTCAGGGCATGGAGCGGCCTGCGGCCTGGGAGCCGCAAGGTGCGGATTCGCTGCGTCGCTTCCAAGGGCTGTTGCTGGATCGCCGCGGCCAGCTCCACGGCCAGGTGCTACGCCTGCGCGAGGTGGCCCGGCGCCTAGAGCGCCTCCGCCGGCGATCCCTGGCGGCCAATGTGGCAGGCAGCTCACTGAGCGCCGCGGGCGCAGTCGCTGCCATCGTGGGGCTTTCGCTCAGCCCTGTCACCCTGGGTGCCTCGCTTCTTGCGTCGGCTGTGGGACTAGGGGTGGCCACCGCTGGAGGGGCGGTCACCATCACGTCCGACCTCTCCCTGATCTTCTGTAACTCCCGGGAGGTGCGGAGGGTGCAGGAGATCGCGGCCACCTGCCAGGACCAGATGCGTGAGATCCTGAGTTGCCTGGAGTTCTTCTGCCGCTGGCAGGGCCGCGGGGACCGCCAGCTGCTGCAGAGCGGGAGGAACGCCTCCATGGCCCTGTACAACTCTGTCTACTTCATCGTCTTCTTTGGCTCACGTGGCTTCCTCATCCCCAGGCGCTCGGAGGGGGCCACCAAGGTTAGCCAGGCGGTTCTGAAGGCCAAGATTCAGAAACTGGCGGAGAGCCTGGAGTCCTGCACCGGGGCTCTGGACGAACTTAGTGAGCAGCTGGAGTCCCGGGTCCAACTCTGCACCAAATCCAGCCGTGGCCACGACCTCAGGATCTCTGCTGACCAGCCCGCAGGGTTGTTTTTCTGAGAACATCCTTTCCCCCTAATGACCTCGGCCTGAAACTACTCCCATGGGATGCTCCAGAAAAACACCACTTTGGGCTAAGAACTGAGTGCAAAGAATGTGAAAGTGGGTGGGTGCTCACAGCCCTTTTCCCATCACTGACATGCAGCCTGAGCTTGCGTATTAGGATTGCATATCACTCTTGTGATCCTAAGGAGTTTGTGACCTGAAAACTCTTTTTCCTTTATCAAGAACCTTTTAGACCTCACATAGCTGTCCAGATACACCTGTTTTGGAGTTATTTCTAGTGGTAGGGGCGGGTCCCTGACCCCACCCTGATGATTTGAGCTGGGGCTGGAGAGGGTGCCACCCTCTGGTTTCTCTCCAAATCCCACTAGGCTTTGAGGTCTTCAAAATGCCTGTGAGAGGAGACACTTGCTTTAAAATCTCTCTTCAGGAGTTTCTGATAAAAAGAACTCCAGAATCTTGTTTGGGACCCAGAAAGGGCCAGGAGCTGACATGCCCTCTTCTTCCTGCCCCGCCCACAAAGTGTGGTCCCAGGACTGGCTCATTAGTACCATCCAGGAACTTGCTGGGATCACCTAGTAAGTTCTTGTACTCCATCCCAGATTTAAGGAAGCATAAAGTCTGAATGTGGGGCCCAGCAACTTGTGTTTAACAAGCCCGCAGATGATTCTGATGTACACTAAGGCTTGAAAACCACTGCAACAAATGTCAATTTATGGTCCCTTCAATGAGACTTCTCAAAGTCTCACGGCCTCTCTAGGGGCTCCTTGGTCTTCAGAGTCATTCACAGAAAGGCAGACTGTCCTAGAAGCAAAAGAAAGAATGTTATGTGCGAGCAAGCCTGCTGGTCAACCCCTCCTGGGGAAATTTTCCACAAGAACTAAGGGATGTAGCTCAATAAGTCCATAAGAGGGCAGTGTTGCCCACTCATTATAGAAACTGGTACAGAAAGGAATGTGAATTTACCAGAAACAGATATTTCCGTATTATTTTCTCTGAGGACTCCAGACTACAAGTATTTATTTATTTTAAGATTGCTATTTAATAACTGTTTATTATTTTCATTTAATTTTATTTACTTGCTGAATAGCATGTTTCTGAATGGAAGACTACTGAGGCTTTTTAAAATTTTTTAACTGAGGCTTTTTTTTTTTTTTAAGAAATGAAGTTGAGTTTGATTTTCTAAGGGGTCTTTCTTATTCAGAGGGATTTTTTTTCCCTCTAGTGTTTTAAGTAATTTTAAAAAATAAGTGTGGGGAGTTCTGAGGGACCAGGAGCTGATTTTAAGCTTGTATATGATGGAGGCTTGAATTGTGGGATATATAAATGATGAAGCATATTTATCCTGAAGGTACTTTGCCAGAAGATAACACTTGACCTGGAAAAAAGAACTTATATAGTTTAGGAAATTTTAAAAAAATTCAAGGAAATTGAAAGAAGTACTTAGTTCTTGGAAATGTGATGTCCTATGAAGTTATGTATTATGGGTGATAGACAAAATAGTTTGTGTTAGGTTGTTACAGTGATGTGTCACATTTTGACTTTGGGGACTATAAGAAACCTGTTAGTTATGTCTAAGAAAATACTTTTCATTTCTTCAATTTCCATTCCTACAATTGTAATGTTGAAAAATAAGTTGGAAAGTCTTCAGGGTTACATACAAAAAACTTGGCTGTATTATTCAATATGCTATAAATTTATCTAGCCTACACCCATGCTTCCCAATGATGACAGTGTGTCTGAGGAATTATAATTTTAGCAGTAGGGGGAAAGTTTTCCTTTCCTTCTAAGTTGCAGTTGGTCTATGTCCTGGTTTATTATGAAATTAATATTGTCTTTTAAAAAAAAATAGTGTAATTTCCCAGACTGCTTTGCATAGATGCTAGCACTGTAGATCACCAGAATGTACTTCACATTGCTGTTGTGTTAAATCATTAAGGTATAGCTATCATTTATTGATGCTTAAACTTGAATTATATTCTTCCAGTGTCTGAACTGTTCCCTAGAAATAAATGGGCAATTTTGAAAGCAGCAGCAATAGTAGTGACAAACTTTTTCTTATCATTTGGGTATTTTAGTATACCAAAGTTATAAACTTCTGGAGTTATTACTTTATTTTAGTGGCCCACTTTACATCTTTGGAAATGTGTCTGCTTTTGAACAATAGTTACACATAGTAGAAATTCAATAAATGCATCTGAATAATTTAATTAACTGGCTGTATTAATAGGAATTTGTTGATAATGAAATATCATCTATCATCTTATTTGTCTGATACAAAGATTGGAACCTCTACCAGTGTTTAATCAATTTCAGCTAAATTGATCCTAGGAAAAAATATTTCTTTCTTTCACGGGAATGTGAATAAGGCTTTTCCTTAAGGTCTTCATTCTATAAACAAACAGGTTGCAATGGTATGTTGTAAAGGGAAGGGAAAGGTGTATTTAGATTATAAGTACTACACAAAAATGTCAGGGTTTGAAAATGCATGTGTTTGTATTAAATATTTAAGTGCTTCTCTTTTTTGTTTCTTGGGTTTACAATCATTTGGATTATTTTATTTCACAATAAAAGATATTCATGTGGTTCTGCATTTCAAAGATTCATATATTCCATACCATATTCTGTTCCATTAAAAAAACAATCCTTAGCAAATGTTTTGATTCTAATTGCTTTGATGCACTTACCTGAAGACACTTGTCATTTCCAATATGGTAAATGTTGAAGTCAAAATTATTTACTGGAATAAAAATTAGAAAGATGACTGGAATAAAATCTACTGTAGATCAGTTATATCAAACAATCAGTCAGCTTGATATACTTCTCATTCAATAGCTTGGTGTGAAAAGAAAATAGAGGGAATTGAGACATTGAGATTGTCCAGAGATAAATGGGGATTCAGTAAATGTAGGGACTTTGGAATTTATTTTTTTTCCCTCTGTAGCAAAATCAGTCCTTTCCTTTTTTTTTTTCTTTAGGTGATGATAGGATTTAATGGTCATCTCTATAGCTAAGCACATAAGCACAGCTAGAATTTTCTTTCTTTCTTTCTTTCTTTTTTTAGACCTTTTTCTTTATTGAAATAAATTGCTCATGCCCCACAGTTTTTGATCTTTCTATAATAACTTATAGTTCCATGTTTTCTTGAGTACGGATTAGTAACTTTTTAAAAAGGGAAGATATTCAATCATTTTCACTTAGAATATCAAATATTCAGTATGAAACTCTATGAATCATTTTTTAAAAAAGTGATCAATTCATAATACAGAAATTCCCTGGTTATATAGAAAGCAGACTTCAAGCACTTTCGAAGCAATTGAGCATAATTACAAACTGGGAATTAAATGAAAAGAAAACTAGTTAACCAAATTAGCTTCACAAACCCCAAACCTTAGAGAGAGGCAGATAGGAAGGGCAAAGGGGGGGGGGGGCATTTCAAAGATTCAATAAAACTACATTCTTCTCTATTAAAAACAAATAATCCTTAGCAAATCTGGCAGTATATCTCAGTGGTAGAGCTCTTGCCTAGCATAAATGAAGCCCTCTGGATTCAATTCCAAGCACCAGAGAAAGAAAAAAAAAATCCTTAAGAAACATTCTAATCCTAACTGCTTTGAGGCACTTCCCCTAAGACTACTATCACTTTCAATATGGTATATGTCAAAGTCAAAAGGCAAAAGTATCATTAGAGAGGCAAAACTTTGCCTGAAATCTTGCAAATCACTCTTCTTAATAGTGCAAGGCTGGCTGGGAAATGTAGTATTTTTAGGAGAGAATAGTGCTGTCTCCAATATGTGTAGGATTCTGTTGGTAAGGAAGGAAAGGTGGGTAGTTATTGGGGAAGTGGTACAGCATTCCAGTCAAAGAGCCCGTCATGGTTGCTGGCAAGCAGTTGGGGACTACTCTGGCAGTGACCTCACTCTGACTGCCAGCCTCTGCATCTGTACCTTGGAAACGATCCTGGGTCTGGACGTTGTGCTTTTCTTGACTGTACAACCAGAAACATCAGGTCACTGTCTGTTTGCTAAGGTGTTGGCAAGCTGGAATCCTATCTTTGCTGAAACATGGGATTCCTGTAGTAACAAATGTCCTTTCATTTAATTGAAGTAAATCTCCTGTTAAGTTGGCAGGAAGTTGAGATGTTACTTTTTGTTCCTAGCAAACTCATAAGAAGGAAAGTAAACCCTGCTGTGATCTGGAACAGGACAGAGTGAACCCTGAGATCTGGAAACAATCTCTCAGCAACCAGGGCATTTCAGGAGAAGGGAAATGGTGCTGATAAAGCGAGACCCATCTGGGGGCCAGGCATGCATATTAGGGGTCCTCAGCACAACCACAGCTGACTGGCATTAACACTGGGATGTGGAGAGAATGGCCTTGAGTATGGTCTTGCCTATGTGGAAGAAGATTGTCTATATGAAGCTACATCTGCAGAATATGATGTTTAATCCCATTTTGTATTTCCAATGTAACCCTCCAAGTGGGAATGCAAACAAGCTTTAGCCAAGGGTCATGGTCATGGTTTCTGCCTTCCTTACACACAGGAGTAGTCAAACCCTGGTTGGGTTCAGTTGCCATATTTACCGGAATAGCTGTAATTGAGAGAAGTTTTTTACGTAGATGGAGTAGGGAGAAGAGTGATATCTCAAATCTTTCTTTCAGTGAAAACTTCTTTTTCTAGGCTCCCTGGTTGACATGCAGGCTTTTGCTTCTGCCCTCACCTTATTACTGAAACTGCACACTCAACAATATCATTTAAGAACAATCAATTTTTAAGTGCTTAAATAAAATTACATTTAGATTATATAGAAAATAAATGTGGGATGTTTAATGATGATGATAATAATAATAGCTAATTTTTTAAAAAACATTTTTTAGTTGTCGTTGGACCTTTAATTTATTTATTTATATGTGGTGCCAAGAACTGAACCTAGTGCCTCACACATGCTAGGCAAGCGCTCCTCTACTGAGCTACAACCCCAGCCCAATAGCTAATCTTTATTTTTAAAAAAAAAATTTTTTTAGTTGTAGTTGGACATGATACCTCTAATTTA